GTTACGATTTGCTGTCATTTATCAGCTAAGTGTTCATTATATATAGTCATAATAAACACGGCAGGTAAGGCCAAAAATCTCAACAATCACTGTCTTGCCAGAAGGGTGCTTTACACTACAGTTATAAAACTGCAACATTAACACCCCTCATTCAGAGTGCAGGCACTGTACTTCCCATCTCCAGGACTCAAGTCCGGCCTGCCGGTTTCCCTGAACCCCTTCATAAATGTTACTTTGCTAACACTCCAACAGCACGTCAAGTATTAAAAACCATTTGTCTCCATTCACTCCTATCAAATACGCTGATGCACGCTTGCTGGAAGTCCAAGCCCCCGTCACACAAATCTTCCTTTACCCCCTCCCTCCAACCCTTCCTTGGCTGACCCCTACCTTGCCTTCTCTCCACTACAGATTGATACACTCTCGAAGTCATTCTGTTTCGCTCCATTCTCTCTACATGTCCGACCCACCTCAACAACCCTTCCTCAGCCCTCTGGATAATAGTTTTGGTAATCCCACACCTCCTCCTAATTTCCAAACTACGAATTCTCTGCATTATATTCACACCACACATTGCTCTCAGACATGACATCTCCACTGCCTCCAGCCTTCTCCTCGCTACAACATTCATCACCCATGCAACTTCTCTTCAGAATCTCCCAAAAGCATCGTGTCCTCAGCAAAGAGTAACTGTGACAACTTCCACTTTGTGTTTGATTGTTTATATATATATATATATATATATATATATATATATATATATATATATATATATATATTATATATATATATATATATATATATATATATATATATATATATATATATATATATATATATATATATACATACATGCATTTATACATACAATAATGAACGTATTTAATTTTATAGATATTATCCATGACAACCTTACTTAGATTAATGAACGCTGCGCGAACCTTCATGTCCAGTTTTCATTAACCGGAGGTTCACTAATTACCTTAATGAGCAGTATCTGAACCTATGTGTTTTGTTCATAAATTCGGAGTGCCTACGAGGTTCTTACGCGGTTACTCTTCCTACCAGGACACTTGTATTAGCCTGATCGTTGGCCTGATACAAGAAAACGGGTGTTAATAATTCCTAATAGGCAGAGGAACACTGAAACAAATGTGTAGTAGGCCTATTGCTTCTATATACATTCACATATCATATTCTTTAATATTAGTAGCCTTAAGGATTGACTCTTACAACACTCCTTCCTGTGAAAGACCTTGGGGTGACCATAACACCGAGCACATCACCGGAGGCACACATCAACCAAATAACCGCTGCAGCATACAGGCGCCTGGCAAACCTGAGAATAGCGTTCCGATACCTTAATAAGGAATCGTTCAAGACACTGTACACTGTGTATGTTAGGCCCATACTGGAGTATGCAGCACCAGTCTGGAACCCACACCTGGTCAAGCACGTCAAGAAGTTAGAGAAAGTACAAAGGTTTGCAACAAGGCTAGTCCCAGAGCTCAAGGGAATGTCGTACGAGGAAAGGTTAAGGGAAATCGGACTGACGACACTGGAGGACAGAAGGGTCAGGGGAGACATGATAACGACATACAAGATACTGCGGTGAATAGACAAGGTGGACAGAGATAGGATGTTCCAGAGAGGGGACACAGGGACAAGGGGTCACAACTGGAAGCTGAAGACTCAGACGAGTCACAGGGACGTTAGGAAGTATTTCTTCAGTCATAGAGTGTCAGCAAGTGGAATAGCCTAGCAAGTGAAGTAGTGGAGGCAGGAACCATACATAGTTTTAAGAAGAGGTATGACAAAGCTCAGGAAGCAGAGAGAGAGAGGATCCAGTAGAGATCAGTGAAGAGGCGGGGCCAGGAGCTGAGTCTCGACCCCTGCAACCACAATTAGGTGAGTACAATTAGGTGAGTACACACACACACACACACACACACACACACACACACACAGGTTCAACACCTCACTCATACATAAGTGAAGATGGTTGCATAATCACACGACACCGCCTAGGAAATTATACAGTCCATGGCTTTCAATGCAGTAACTTACCCTGAGAAAGTCGAAGGTGTTCACAGAGAAGGTTATTGACGTCTCGTACTGGTGGCACACGAGAATCCAGCACATGGTCAGCACCCTGGAAAAACTCATGGCCATACATATATATATATATATATATATATATATATATTATATATATATATATATATATATATATTATATATATATATATAATATATATATATATATATATATATATATATATATATATGTATAATTTTATATATATATATATATATATATTATATAAATATATATATTATATATATATATAATATTATATATATATATATATTATATATATATATATATTATTGTGAAGGAGTCTGTTATAAAAAGTAGTTTTACATTGCTTCATTTAAGGGTTACGAGATGTTATGCAGTAGGGAAGACAGTGTCTGACCTGATGCCAGGGAGGCAGGTGATAGTGGTGGGGTGGTCAGGGTCACGGTGCCTAAAGACACCTCTCAGTTGTGGTAAAGAGAGAAGAACAAAACACATTTCCAAGCACCTGAAATGTATACACTCTTAATCCTCGTTTACGTATGTATGCATGTATCAGCATTATTATTATTATTATTATTATTATTATTATTATTATTATTATTATTATTATTATTATTATTATTATTATTATTTTTTTTTTTTCAGATAAATTACATAAATGGTAGTGTTCATATGTATTTTTAATTGGTATGGTGTAATTATGAGCATTTGCCAAAATCGATTTTGCCACCTGACCTTGAAGAATACGTATCATTTCTATTGGAGAGGATGCTAAACTCTGTGGTTACTGGAAAGAGTTTAAACACACACACACACACACACACACACACACACACAACTTGAGGACAGAAGGATCAGGGGATACATGATAACGACATACAAGATATTGCGTGGAATAGATAAAGTGGTAGGGGTCGTCCTCGAAAGAGTTGGAGAGAGGGGGTAAAGGAGGTTTTGTGGGCGAGGGGCTTGGACTTCCAGCAAGCTTGCGTGAGCGTGTTAGGAGTGAATGGAGACGAATGGTACTTGGGACCTGACGATCTGTTGGAGTGTGAGCAGGGTAATATTTAGTGAAGGGATTCAGGGAAACCGGTTATTTTTATATAGTCGGACTTGAGTCCTGGAAATGGGAAGTACAGTGCACTTTGAAGGAGGGGTTTGGGATGTTGGCAGTTTGGAGGGATATGTTGTGTATCTTTATACGTATATGCTTCTAAACTGTTGTGTTCTGAGCACCTCTGCAAAAGCAGTGATAATGTGTGAGTGTGGTGAAAGTGTTGAATGATGATGAAAGTATTTCCTTTTTGGGGATTTTCTTTCTTTTTTGGGTCACCCTGCCTCGGTGGGAGACGGCCGACTTGTTGAAAAAAAAAGATAAAGTGGACAGAGACAGGATGGGACACAGAAACAAGGGGTCACAATTGAAAGCTGATAATTCAGACGAGTCACAGGGATGTTAGGAAGTATTTCTTCAGTCATAGAGTCGTCAGGAAGTGGTAGAGCCTAGCAAGTGACGTAGTGTAGGCAGGAACCATTCATAGCTTTAAGACGAGGTATGACAAAGCTCAGGAAGTAGAGAGAGAGAGGACCTAGTAGCTATCAGTGAAGAAGCGGGGCCAGGAGCTGAGTCTCGACCTTTGCAACCACAATTAGGTGAGTACAATTAGGTGAGTACACACACACACACATACACACACACCTCGTCGGTAACGAGGAGCAGGTAGGTACCAGGTGAGCACTTCAAGAACGGTGGCCAGGAGACAGAGAACAGCCAGCACTCCCAGGAGACTCCTGCCGGGGAAGAGGACATAACGCAGTGACACCAGAGTATGTGAACAAAAACATTGAACACCAGAGTATGTGAACAAAAACATTGAACAACAGAGTATGTAAACAAAAACAGAGAACACCGGAGTATGTGAATAAAAACATATATACCAGACAATCCTGGTTTTAACCGGAACAATTTTTCCCTGTGAAAACTTAAAATGGAAAATCACCAGATAAAAACTTGTAAAAATCAACAAATGGGGAAACTGGGTTTTCCCAAACTTTGTTGTTTTCACATAGTGTGTTTTTTTCTTTCACATCGTTTTGTTTTCAATGGGGGTTTTTGTTCTTCACATAACCCCTGGTTTTCCCAAAACTGTGTTTTCTCAAAAATGTGTTGTTTTCCTCGTGTAATCTTCAATGTGTGTGCCAATGCGGTTTTGTTTTAAAACTTGTAGCTTCACATAGCTGGTTGTTTTCCAAACTGTGTTTTCTTCAATAGTATTGCGTTTTTCCACTGGTAATTTTTAAATTGTGGTGTCTTTCACGTGTTTAATACGAATTATAACCCGTTTTCCGTTAATTTCATAAAAGGAGAAGCAAACGTAAGGGGTTTTACGTAAACTTAACAAAATAACATCCCTTGTTAAAATGGAATTACAACAAATTAGCACAAGGGGCCATTTTTGTGTTTTACTAAAAAGGAAAAATAGTAGCTTTTGTTCCCATGTTATTAATTATAGTAGTGTATAGACACTGCAGGTGTTTCCCGGTAACTTCATCGAATAGTGTGTAGCCCCACTTTGCCGTTCCACTGTGGGTACTTCTAAGAATGGTGTAGCACACTGCAGGTGTTCCACTGTGTAATTCAAAAGAATGTGTAGTAGCACACTGGGGGGCCCCCCCACGTGTACTTCATAAGAATAGGTAGTGCACACTGCAGGTGTTCCATTGTTAACTTCATACAGAATATGTAGTAGCACATGCAGGTTTTTTCCCACGTGAAAAATATCATCAAAAATAGTGTGTACCACTGTTCCGTTCCCACTGTGAAAATTTCATATAGACTTTGCTAAATTTAAAAAAAAAAAGAAAAAGGTAGTTGATTTACATAGAACGAGGTCGCGGGTTGAAGTTTAAAACTGTTGGGTTAGTGTGCAGGGACTACGTACCCGTGCCCCACCTCCCGCGTACGTTAAAAAGACACCGTTTGGGGTTAGTTAAGGGGGTTTTAAAACCCTACGACTACTCTAGGGCCATTTCGCATGCAAAATATTTTAATCCCCTAAAAACAGGGATTAAACTCTCAGCATATATACAGTGAGAGAAATTACCTTTTGTTATATACTGGAACTTAAATTTTAGGAAAAATGTTTAAAAAAAAAACATTCCAACTAACACAAAAATTTGCCCATAAAGGGGAAATAAATAGACAACAATATATTCGTCCGAGGGATCGTTAAAAGGGCTAAGTTAACAAACTTCGATTTTTTTTTAGGGGGGGTTATGTTTACGCAGTGTTGACAGCAAAAAAATTACAAAAAACAGAAACTTTACGTCTAGCATCGTTATTATTTAAAATGGTTGGATAAACAAGCTCGTTTTTTTTGAAGGAATCTTTCAGAAGTACGTTCATTAAGGTAAAACTTCGTAAAGACGCCCGTAGTCATGTGGGTGCAGGAGGGGGAATCCCAAGTGGGTATAGGGGGCAGAGGTGGCTAACAAGCCAACCCAGGACCTTTTTCAAGCCCTTGTGCCAAATGCATTCTACGTCCGGCTGTCCATCACGCCCCCCCCCCATCCCTTCATCATTCCCATATCTGGTTTTGGGACATCTTCCCGTCTTTGAGGTCTTCTGTCCTGCAAGACGACGATCTAAATTATACTACACTAAGAGTGGTCGGGGGATATTTATCACCAGATAAGAAATAAAGTAAGAGCTTTGTTTCTTGCTTGCCTGCCTCCCTATACGCTACCAAACATAATTTTAAAATTTGTATGACCTTACCTTAAAAACCATCTCTACACCTGACCCGACCTCCGTCTTTCTCCTTTGTTTTTTCTCCCTCGTGATTCATAAGTATCAGGAAGGGTTGCCCATCCCCAGTCTCCAACTTATTTGTGGGGTTTTAAAAAAGTCAAGAAAAATTTTCCCGATCTGATTAGCAATTTAGATGGAAATATGTATAGTAAGATATGAACCCAGAATCATGAACTAAATTTGAACCTACCCGCATAGTAACTTTGAACCACCATCACCCTAACTTACAGCCTATCACCAGTAACTTACGAGCCTACCTCCTAGTAACAGAAACCAACATCACTACATCTTACGAACCCCCCCATCACTAGAAACTTATGAAAAACCCAAACCCTCATAGTAACTTTTGAACCAACCACCACATAATTACTGCCCACCATCACAGTAACTTACGAGCCCACCATCACTAGTAAAAATTACGAATAACCACCCTGTAATTAAACCCACCCCCCTAGAACTTAAAAGCCCACCCACTAGCAACTTATGAACCAACCACACTAGTAACTTACGGGCTACCTCACTAAACTTTCAAACTTCCATCACCAGTAATTACAGCCACCATCACTAAAAACTTAAAACCTACCATCACTTTGTAACTTAAAGCCACCATCACTATAACTTAAACCACCCTCCTAGTAATTACAAACCCACCATCAAATTTTCTTAAACACCATCACTAGTAACTTATAACAAAACCCTCACTTAAATTTAACCACCCCACTAGTAACTTTTGAAACCACCATCATAGTAACTTATGAACCAACCATAAGTAAAATTAGACCAAACCCTCACTGAATTTTGGGGAAACCCTCACTAGTAACTATGAAACAAAACCCTCACTAAACTTACGAGCCCACCATCAAGTAACTTATGAACAACCATCACTAGTAACTTATGCCCAACCCCACTGTACTTACGGCCCACCATCACAGTAACTTGAAAACCCAACCATCACAGTAAATTAAGCCCACCCACTATACCCTTCGAGCTACCATCCCCAGTAAGTTGAACCCCCCTACTGTAATTACGAGCCCACCATCACTAGTAATTAGACCCCCTCACTATAATTACGAGCCTCCATCACTAAAACTTACGGCCTACATCACTAATAATTTGAACCTACATCACAGAACTTAGAGCCTCCACATATAAATTGGGCCCCATCACTAGTAACTTTTGGGCCAACATCACTAGTAACTTGACCACCATACTAGTAATTTTTAACCCAAAACATAGTAATTACATCTACATACTAGTAACTTTGACCAACCCTCCTATAACTTCAGCTACCACTAGAATTTCGACCACCTAAATAGTAACTTGTGAACCAACCATCCCTAGTAATTTCGAGCTACACATATATTACGAACCACCCTCACTATAATTGGAAAAACCCCCTACTGTAATTACGAGCCTACCAATCATAGTTAAATTAGAATACCACACTGTAATTTCGAGCCCCACAAAATAGTAACTTTGAACTACTTTTATATAACTTTGACCAAACCATCATATACCTTTCGAACCCCATCATAGTAACTTTTAACCAAATCACTATAATTACGAGCCCACCCTCACTAGTAAAATTAAACCACCATCATAGAACCTTAGACACAATACTAATAATTTGAAACCCACATCCTTAAATTACGACCTACCCACTATACTTTCGACCACCATCATAGTAATTTTAACCAAACCCTCATAGTAACTTGACACCATACTAGTAACTTTTTAAACCACATCCTAGTAAATTACGACTAACACACTATACTTGGGGACCAACCATCATTAAAAATTACGAGCCACAAACCCAAATAATTTCGACCTACCAAAAAGTAACTTTAACCAAACCACCCCAGTAAATTAGGCCCACCCAAGTAACTTATAAACCTACCCACTATAAATTGGGCCCATCACTATAATTATAAACTAATATTAACTTTTGAACCAATCGCCCCATAATTAGGCACCAAACTTTTTTTTAAAACCTCCCTAGTAAACTTTCGAGGTTAAGGGGTAGTACCTTTTCGACCTACTCAAAATAACTTTAAAAATCATGTAATTATGCCTTCCACCTAGATTATGAACCCCACGCAGTCACGAAACCAATCCCTTTCTGTGAAAAAAATTTTGATCACGAGTAAACCTCACCAGAACTTTTCGAACCCACCCCCCCGTTTTGCCTACCATCCAGTTTTGAACAACCACATTTAATTCCCCACCGGGGCTGTACCTTCAGCCTTTCCTTTTTCCAGTAAATTGGGCCCCATCACTGTAAAGTTACACCTACATCCCTTTTTCTTTCGGTTTTCCTGTGTTCGAATTTCCCGTTATTAGAGCCTAAATCCGTAATTTGAAAAATCCCTTCTTCGGCCCCAATAAGTAAATTACGGCCCCCCCCGTAATTGTGAAAACTTATAATTCGAAAATTCTGTAAAATTTTAACCAATCATCATAGTAACTTAGATCTAACACCCCTGTAACTTTTGTGAAAATTTCACTGTTTTAAGAGCCCCCAATATAAGTTCATACCTCCAGTAATTTGAACCACATCCCCCGTAATTTCGAGTAACTTGACCTTAGAACTACCACCTGAACTTGTGAACAAAACTATAAATTTTTCAGTCTCACAGAACTTACGAATAACTCACAATAAGTCAAACCACCATCATAAAAATTCGGGGAAAATAGAATTATGAAAACCCCTACATAATTCCCCGCCCACCCCCAAGTAACTTACGAGCCTAATCATAAACTTGTAAAAAAAATATTTTTATTTTAAAGCCTAACCTTCACTATAATTGTTAACCCCCTCCTGTAACTTTTCATCTAAAACCCCTTAAATTTTGTAAACCATATATCTTGTAAATATGGTTACGGGCCTACCCTAAAAATACTTGTTAAACCATCCCCCAAACTTACAAAGGCCTAAATCATTTCGAATTCCCTTCACGTAAATTTTGTGACCCAAATCAAAAAATATGAATCAACTAAACTTTTGAACCTACCATCGGGGAGAACTTACGAGAATAATATAAAATTTGAAACCAACCCTCCCTATAATTAAGAGTCCCGCACAGATTAAAAAACCCCCATCACATAATTGTAACCCAAATTCACTGTAACTTATGAATTTAAAAACACTAGTAATTTTTTAAAATACCATCTAAAACTTTCGAACCTCCTCACAAATTTTGAAAAACCCCCCAAGTAATCAATCAAAACCTCCCCCGAAATTACCCTCCACCCATAAATTGACCTACCCTACCGTAATTTGAACCTACATACAGCTTTAAAATACCATTGTAATTAGAACCTAAAATAATTTGAAACCAATCCCCCTAAATTTGACCCAAACACCGTAAATAGAACCTAATCACAAACTTTTGAACCCAACCCAGATTAAATAAAAATAGAAATTACGAGCCAAGACTACTACTTATTAACTGGAAAATTAAGGCTAAATTTTCTTTAACCCCCCTGCAGTTTTTCTTTATCTTTATTTCAAAAGTGTAATTATAAATATCCTGAGGGGTTGAGAAATCAAATGACCAGATTTGGTTGTAAAAAGAAATGATTTGATTTTATCCCTTTCTTACACACGATCAAATTTTGCCCCAAAAGCCCCCTTAACTTCTAAAAAATTTCCATGTATTATTTCCCTTCTATTGGGCTTTGGGGAAAAATCCCCCCCCCCTTCCCCCAGGCCCGGGGAATAGGGTCTATAAACGGGCTGTTTTCGGCACATATCCAAAATTACGAACACACCGGTTTTCTGAGGACTTTGGGATCCCGTAGGGTTCTTGAAGAAAAAGGAGGTCGAGTTTAAACCCCCTTTTGGTTAGGTTTTTAACATTGGGGAGGAATTACGGTTTTCCCCTTAGGGACCCAAGGCGTACTTTCCCCTGGTTTGTTTCCTCAAGTCTTTTTATTTTTGTGTTCGGGTGCTTTGAGTGTTTTTTGGTTGGGTCGCCCTGGTACATGGTTTCATGCATGCAAGGAGTGTGCATCACTACATATCTGTATTTCGCATCCTGTACATTGACAGCTTCTGCACTATCTTCCTTGATCATTAAGTTGAACTTGATGTTAGATTTAGATTAGATTTTGCCACCGAAAGTGGCTAGTTTATTGTGCACCCCATATCTATCCTGTGGAGGGTATCGTAACAGCGTATGGATGCACAAAAGGCCTAGGAACTAGGCCCCAAGAGGGTTAACAGGTGTACATATGGATTTATATTTACATATCTACAGTTCACTTAACTGTTACAAGTATATCTGGTATCTTATTTTCATTAATATGATATCCTGACGTGTCACATAGGTTATTATACTGTCTATCTCTGTATTCCTCAATAAGTGTATAGTTAAACAACCGGCAAGTTATCCTAAGTGGCTCGAATGGATGCAAGATCAATGTACCTGCTACACAGTGCTATTTCAGGGGTATTGAAGTCTAACTAAAGACTGAATTAGGCAACTCTCGTGAATAGGTTCTCAGTGCCACCTCACTTAAGATTCTAATCACTGACTCAACAAATTATATGCTCCTACAATCCAATCGTTACATGATAAACTGTACTTATAATATAATGAGTTACAACACCTGGTATGCTATCACATAAAACCTACATAATCATGCGCAACATTCGTGTCAAAATCTAGGCTTAACCATCTCAGCCGCAATTTTCAGAATCGTAATGAACAATCCGTCTCGGCTCAGTTGTGACCAGAAGCAGACATATTCGGAAACGAAAACCTGAACGAAGGTTTCACTTCACCCTGAAGTAGTGTTGCGGTGAATGGACATTTGAATGCACACTGTGGAGGGTGTAGTTAACTCTGCAAGTTGACAGTAAGGGAGGATAACGAAGCTATAAACCTTAGATTAAGTTTATACTCACAGGTACACTGCTAGGAAATATTTACAGGTAATACTTACAGGTACGCTACCAGGCAGTACTTCCCATCGAAAGACCTCTGCTCCTCATCCTTCTGATAGTGGCTCTGCCGGTGGTGGTAGTGTTGTTGCTGGTAGCGGTAGTGCTGTTGCTGGTGGTAGTGGTAGTTTTGTAGGGTGTAGTGAACGCTGAGGCTGACGCACTCTTCATACACACCCACCATGTGAACGTTACCAAAGAGGAAGCCGTCTGGCATCTTACCCCACGAGTCCACCACTACGGGAGTAGATGATGTTACACACACATTACGAAATAGCTCTTCGAACAACCAGAACTTGACTCACATTACTCATCCAGTAAAGAACACAACACGCAGAGAATTCCACTGATTCCTTCAAGTGAAAACAATTAATTGCATTAGACAATAGACGTAAATCACTGTCTGTCATGATTGCCGATATGTCAGTTCAGCCTCAGTGTCACTGATCGAAAAATTTCATGACCTTGCCAAGTACATTTCAAACCCTAGCAGAATTTTTTTTAAATGATACATCTTACATGCTGTGTAAAGAAGCTTATTACGAAAATAATATAGTAGTGTAAGAAAAGAATGTAGTAATTCACGAGAGGGATGTAGCCTTTAAGACGGTCTGACGGTCTTAAGACTGTCGTAAAGTGACGACTACCGACAACATGATGAAAACGCACACGCATTCACTTGCTGAAGACAACTTTAGTGAAGACCTTTCGCTCCTTCGACCTTGATGTCTTCAAAGGTATTTAAAGTGATCATCCTCCATGGAGCGAAACGTTGTCTTCAGTAAAGGTGTGTTAAGAGAAAGCTTTCGCCTTCATTTTCGTTCCGAAAATTACTATGCTACTGTTTCACCACACCGACACGTGCGGCAGGTGGGTGGGCTCATCAGGTGGGCGGATTATCACTCTTTGTCAGCTGTGAACCTCCCGCCTACATCTACCATAGTATATGTAATATATATTATATATATATATATATATATATATATATATATATATATATATATTATATATATATATATTATATATTTATATATATATATATATATATATATATATATATATATTTAATCGAGATTTGTATGTCTCTCAGTGTATACACACTGAGAGATGTTGTTTCTCAACATCCGAGATAGCGTGTCTGTCTTGCATTTACCTGGAGGCGGAGGAGAAGGATCGAGTCTCCACAGCTTCCTAGCAATGAATTACTCATGCGGGCTTAGCGCTTCACAGATTACGCTTCACCGATTTGCTCCCCAAATTTTTTCATGTTTTTTTTTTAAAGTGTTATAACTTTGCATTGTCATTTAGCACAAGCAGGGGGGGGGACCCCCGCTTTCCTCTACCGTCAGTTTAGGAGACAAGACCTTGTGGTGAAGACGTGAGGGGACGACACATGTCCTCTCCACAAATCTTCTCAGCATGTCTGCACACTTCACTGACTTGACAGATTTATTGTCACAGCTGCTGGTCGCTCACCCACACTCAACACTGTTGAAGAAGACGACGAAGAAGAGGAGGACGAACACGAGGAGGAGGAGGAGGAGGAGGAGGAGGAGGAGGAAGACAACATTTTCGGGGTTATCTTGGGTGGTCAGTCCAGGATAACCTGCGGAAGCCACACAGTGCGGCTTATTTCCGTCCTGGGTCCTTAAGGCCTCTTCTTTAAAAAAGAATTTGCAACAGTCAGTTAATTCCTGCGACCATATGCACAGCAAGGTGACCATGAGCAGCGCATCTGAGGAGACGGGTCCATACGTCTCGCCCGGGGATCGAACCCGGGTCAATTTTGTTAAGAATCGAGCTCTTTCCCGCTTAACTCAGAGTTACACTGAAGTCACTTTTAAGTTCTTTATTTCTTATACGTGTACCCTTAGAGAGTAATAATTGATTACTCTTAAAGTGTTGTGTTGTAGTTGAGAGTGTCTTAAAGTGTTGTGTTGTAGTCGACAGTGTCTTAAAGTGTTGTGTTGTAGTCGACAGTGTCTTAAAGTGTTGTGTTGTAGTGAGTGCTTAATTGTTGAGTCACAGTGTCTTAAAGTGTTGTGTTTAGTCGACAGTGTCTTAAAGTGTTGTGTTGTAGTCGACAGTGTCTTAAAGTGTTGTGTTGTAGTCGACAGTGTCTTAAAGTGTTGTGTTGTAGTCGACAGTGTCTTAAAGTGTTGTGTTGTAGTCGACAGTGTCTTAAAGTGTTGTGTTGTAGTCGACAGTGTCTTAAAGTGTTGTGTTGTAGTCGACAGTGTCTTAAAGTGTTGTGTTATAGTCGACAGTGTCTTAAAGTGTTGTGTTGTAGTCGACAGTGTCTTAAAGTGTTGTGTTGTAGTCGACAGTGTCTTAAAGTGTTGTGTTATAGTCGACAGTGTCTTAAAGTGTTGTGTTGTAGTCGACAGTGTCTTAAAGTGTTGTGTTGTAGTCGACAGTGTCTTAAAGTGTTGTGTTGTAGTCGACAGTGTTTAAAGTGTTGTGTTGTAGTCGACAGTGTCTTAAAGTGTTGTGTTGTAGTCGACAGTGTCTTAAAGTGTTGTGTTGTAGTCGACAGTGTCTTAAAGTGTTGTGTTGTAGTCGACAGTGTCTTAAAGTGTTGTGTTGTAGTCGACAGTGTTTTAAAGTGTTGTGTTGTAGTCGACAGTGTCTTAAAGTGTTGTGTTGTAGTCGACAGTGTCTTAAAGTGTTGTGTTATAGTCGACAGTGTCTTAAAGTGTTGTGTTGTAGTCGACAGTGTTTTAAAGTGTTGTGTTGTAGTCGACAGTGTCTTAAAGTGTTGACGGCACGAAATAAGTGAGTGAAAATCTGAACCCGTAATAAGACTATTGTGTTCAGTGAGCCATTAATCAGACGTAAGACTGACAGTCCAAAAAGAATTTTTCACGAGACTCAAAATTCTGCCGGCTTTTTCTCACCGGCTGAGTTATGGTAATGTTTCACTACGGCACGGCTGAAGGCTTTACAGTGTTTCCCTTTCAAGAAACTCTTGATGGGGTTGCCTTGACACCGATGATGGGCTCTTGATTCCTGGAACTGGTGATGCTTGCAGCTTCTGTGATTGAAGCCTTTTTTGTCTTCTGTTTTGGGTGCTGTGGGACCCCTTGCCGGGCTTAATAATAACTTGCAACTTTTGAAGAGGAGCTGAAACTCACACTTGCAACTTTTCAAGAGAAACTGAAGCTCACACTTGCAACTTTTCAAGATGAAAGTTAAGACAGCCACGGTGCTGTAAACACCACCTCCAAGGCTGAGGGACTGATTACCTCATCTTTTGTATATACTTCTGTTTTTTAATTATGTCCAAGAATCTGTATTGATAAAGCCACTGGATGGCGAAACGTATACAATAAAGATAACCAGATGTTGCACAAGTGTCTTAACTTTCATCTTGTCGGTATTGTATACCTGTCTCGCACAATTTTTCAAGAGAAACTGAGCTCACACTTGCAACTTTTCAAGAGAAGCTGAAACGCACATTTGCAACTTTTCAAAAGAAACTTAGCTCACACTTGCAACTTTTCAAGAGAGACTGAAACTCACACTTGTTGGCCCATTCGGTGGTGTTCGCCACATTCAGACGAGTGAGAACTTCCCTCACATCTTTCTTACAATCCTCGTTGTCAATCCTCTCCGGAAGAGGAAGGTAAAACTCCAATACACTTTCCCAGAGATAATTGTTGATGCTAAGCCGTAAGGGAAGAGCATCGAGCCTGGAAGCCTGGTTGGGCGGACCCTCAGTCACTCTGCTGAGCACAGCGGTCACACTAACGACGCTTAAGAAGGCCGCCTCGAAAATTCTGGCTCTGAGACCCATCATAAAAGGCGTAGATAGTGTCACCAAGAGCCACAACACACTGAGAGGGAGGCGTTGAAGACAATGGTGTTGAGACTCGAGGTTAGTGAGCGGAGCGGAGCACGCAAACTGAGAGGCAGTGAGGCCATGGTAACTGCCGCTATCTTATCGTTCACTTAAAAAAGAAAACTAGAGTGCTTTCACACGCTTATAGCGATATAGTTACAGCATGTGCGGCAGCAGGTGTGAGAGTGTGTACGTGTGATAAGCAAGGGATGGTCTCTTCTGTGTACCTAAGACTGATGTGCGCTTCATGTTCTGAACACGTCAACAACCAGACTAAAACTGTGAAGCAGCGTCAAAATACCAGTAACCATAACTAAGCCTTGATAAGATTCTCCAATATAAGAGAAGACTTGCTGGTGGAAAATGTACGTTACTCTTCAGTGTCATACCCTTTAACTTTGCTATACCTCTCATGTGTTTCGAGAGTTTTTTTTTACTCTCCCAATTCGGCCCTGCGCCAGGCTGTCTGGTGCTTACCTGGTCAACCAGGCTATTGTTCCTTGAGACCCGCTGGTTCAAATATCCATCACAGCCTGGTTGAATCAAAACAATGCAATCAAATTAGAAAAAAATACTGAAGGGTTATATATATAAATATATATATATATAAATATTATATATATAATATATATAATAAACCCTCAGTATTTGTAGCTACACTGAGATAAAAGTAGATGGGATACAAGGAGAATAGAAGCAAACAGGGAAGAGGAGTTTAGGTTTATAAACTAAAAGAGGAAACAGTTTAGGGTAAGTATAACAGCTTTGGGGATATGGGCTAATGAGAGCATAGGCAATGGGGGCGAAGAGGGATGGGGGAGGTTTTTAAAAATGTAGTGTTAGAGTGTTCACAGAATTTTGTGGTTTCAGGGAAAATGGGGGCAGGGGGGAAGAGACGATTGTGGGAAAATTTATAAAAAGAGTAGTAAGGGGGAAAAAAGTTAGCAATTTAGAAGTTTTAAAAGTAGAATGAGCAAGGAGGGAAAAAGTATTGGAGAAAAAGAGAGAATTAAGAGATGGTGAAGCAATTAAAAAAGAGCAAATGAGAGAGTGGTGAGATTTATCAACAAATTTTGTTGAAAAAAGAAAAGTTTTGGGAGTGAGATTAACAGTTTAAAAAGCCTAGAGAACAAATGGATTTGTCATTAAAAAAAGGAGAGGGGAGTTATTAAATGGAGAGTTAGACGTATTGGAAGAGGAGGGAATATTTTTAGGGGAAAGTTAAATTTGAGAAGATAGGGGAACTGTGATTTCGTGTATAGGGCAAGGGGGAATAAAACTTTTAGGAGTAGGAAAAGCCAGTTGGTGTGTGGGGGGAAATTCTGAGCTAGGGAAAAGAAAGGGGAAGGCACCGGATTGAGGGGTAAAATAGAAATTTAAAAACAGGGGGGGATAAGTTTTGGAGTGGGTTTGGGGCAATTATTTAATAAAGTATGGGAAAAGGGGAAGGTAACTAGGGATTGGCAGAGAGCATGCTTTCCTTTTATAAAGGCAAAGGGGGTAAAAAGGGGTGCAAAAATTTTAAGGGGGGTAAGTCTGTTGATGTACCTGGTAAAGTGTATGGTAAGAAAATTGAAAGAATTTAAAAGTAAAAACGGAGAATAGGATAGCAATAACAAGGAGGCTTTAGGGAAAGGGAGGGGGTGTGTGGGCCCGGGGTTTTTAAATGAAACATAAAGTGAACATATTTAGATAAGGGGTAAAGAGGGCTTTTTGGCATTTATGATTTTGGAAAAGGGGTAAGACAGGGTGGATAGGGGGCAATGTGGCGATGTTGCAAGTGAGGTGTAGGGGGAGGGTTTGAAAGCAGGGAAAATTTTTTACAGGGAATGGGCCCCGTTTGGTATGTAGGAAAGGGAAATTTTTTTTCCCAGTAAAAATAGGCCTTAACAAGGAGTGTAGCACCGGGTTTTTTTAATAATTTATAATGGGGGGTAAAAAGTAAATGCGAGGGGGTTGGCAAGAGGCTTTGGGGTTTTAAAAAATAAAGAATTTACACCCCCAAAAAATGGGAGTTGTCACCCGCTTTCTTCTTTGGGTGATTGACCCCGTGCTCTTGGGGGATTCTGAAGAGAAGTTGCAGAGATTGGGTTTGGGTGAAAATTTTGGGAGGGGGGCAAAAGAAAAAAATTAAAGGGGAAAAACAGGGAAAAGAAGGTTTTGAGGAAAACAAAAAAATTAGGTGAAGAAAAATTGAAAAACAGATTGAGGGGGAGAGAAAGGGGAGGGGAACGTATTCAGAAAATTTGGGGTGGGCGTTCAAACGGATGGGTCCATGAAAGATGAGGTGAATCATAGAAATTTATGAAGGGAAAAAGGGGTAGTGGTCCCTTAAAGGGGTCCCTTTGGGGAAAAAAAAGAACTTTTCCTTGGAGGCAAAGAGGGGAAAAGGGATGAGAGTAAAGTTTTTTCCAACGCTCTTAAAATGGGTGCAGCGGGGGTGATGAATGTTTGCAGCGAGGAAAAAGGGGGGAGCAGTGGAAAATTTTCATGTTTTGGGGGGCAATGTGTGGTTTTAATAAAAATGCAAAAATTCGATTTGGAAAATTTGGGGAGGTGCGGGATTACCCAAAAATGTTGTTTTGGGCAGAAAGGTTTTGTTGAGGGGGTTTTGGGCATGTAGAGAGAAAGGGGCGAAACAGAATGACTTCAAGAGTGTATCAGTCTGTAGTGGAAGGAACGGGGTAGGGGGCGGCCGGGGAAAGGGGTTTTGGGGGGAGGGGGGAAAAGGGGGTTTTGTTTTGGGGAGGGGCTTGGCTTCCACCGGCATGCGTGGGGCGGTTTATAGGGGTGAAGGGGACAAAAGGTTTTTAATACTTTGACGTGCTGTTTTGGAGTGGAGCAAAGTAACATTTATGAAGGGATTCAAGGAAAAACCGGCCCGGCCGGCCCTTTAGTCCTGGGTTTGGAAAAAACAGGCCTGCCCCTCTGAAAGGGGGGGGTTTAAATTTTCAGTTTTAAAAAAATGTAGTGTTTAAAACACCCTTCTGGGAAACAGTGATGGGGTGAATGATGGTGAAAATTTTTCTTTTTTTTGGGCCCCCCCTGCCTTTGGGGGAACGGGGGAGTGTGATAATAAATAAAAAAAATATATATAAATAAAATATAATTTTATATATATAAATATAAAATAATGTAAAATTTAACCCTTTTTTTAAAATGGTCCCACATGGGTTTCCCCTTGCGTGTTTTTTTTTAAATGGGAAATTTCCTTTTTTTTTTCCCTGGGGGCTCAATTTTATCCCTTAAATTTTTTTGCTGGGTTTAGCAAACCCCCGGGCCCCCAAAACCCATGTTAAAGCATCCCTTTGGGCCAAAAGGGCCTGTGTTTTAGCATTCCCCTTTTCAAACCCGGTTCTATGTTCAGCATCCCCCTTGGTTTCCCCCCGTACTTGTGTTTGCATCCTCTGGGCCACCCACCTGGGGTTCCCCATCCCCTGGGCCACCGGACCTGTGTTTTTAGCATCCCCTGGTCCACCGGGCCTGTGTTCAGCATCCCCCGGTTCACCGACCTGTTTTCAGCACCCCCCCTGGTCCCAACCCGACCTGTGTTCACATCCCCGGTCCACCCAACCCCGTGTTCAGCATCCCCCTGGGCCACAGCACCCTGTTTTTTCAGCAAATTTCCCCGATCTACCGACCCCATGTTTCAGCATCCCCCCGTTTCCCCCGGACCTGTGTTCACACCCTAGTTCACCGACCTGTGTTCACATCCCCGGTTTAAAAGGGGCCTGTGTTTTAGTATCCCCCCGGGGGGCCCCCCTGACCTGTGTTCAGCCTCCCCTGGACCTCCGGGCCCCGTGGGTTTAAATCCCCCTGGTTTCCCCCGGCCTTTTTTCAGCACCCCTGGTCCCCCCGACCCGGGGTTTTCCAACAAACACCCGGGCAAGAGGGGCCCGTGTTCCAATCACCGGTCGACCCCAACCTTTTACAGCATCCCCTGGTCCCCCCGGAAATGAAATTTCCCTCCCCTGGGCCACCAGAATTGTGTTCAGCACCCCTAGTCCACTGGAAACCCTTTTTCCCGCATCCCCTTTGGGCCCCCCGGACCTTTTATTTAGCATCCCCGGTCGCCCCAACCCCGTGTTTTAGCATCCTTTTGGGCCACCGACCTACGTTTTGCATCCCCGGGCCACCAGAAAATTTTTCACATCCCCTGGGTTCCACCGAAAAACCCGTGTTCAGCATCCCCCGGTCCCCCCGGACCTGTGTTCAGCATCTTGATCCCGGACAAGTGTTAGCTCCCCTGGGCCCCCAGACCTGTGTTCAGCATCCCCTGGTCCACCGGAACTGTGTTCCACCCTGGTCTAGGGGGCCTGTTTCGATCCTTGGCCACCGTACTTGTGTTCAGCATCCTCGGGTCAACTGGACCACGTCAGCATCCCCCGGTCCCCCCAGACCTGTGTTCACAATCCCCCGGTCCACAACCTGTGTTCAGCATCCCCCCTTGCCCCCGGGCCTGGTTTTAGCATCTTTGGTCCACCGACCTGTGGTCAGCATCCCCTGGTCCACCGGACCGGCGTTCACCATCCCATGGACCCCCACACCTGTGTTCAGCATCCCCTGGTCCACCGGGCCCTTGTTCAGCATCCCCGGTCCCCCAGACCTGTGTTCACCATCCCCTGATCCACCGGACCTGTGTTCAGTATCCTTTGGTCCACAGGACCTGTGTTCTGCATTCCCTGGTTCACCGGACCTGTGTTCAACATCCCCTGGTCCACCGGACCTGTGTTCAGCATCCCCTGGTCAACCGGATCTGTGTTCAGCATCCTATGGTCCATCGGACCTGTGTTCAGCCTCCCATGGTCCACCGGACCTGTGTTCAGCATCCCGTGGGCCATCAGAATTGTGTTCAGCATCCTCTGGTCTACCGGACCTGCGTTCAGCATCCCCTGGTCCACCAGACCTGTGTTCGGCATCCCCAGGTCCACCGGACCTTTGTTCAGCATCCCCTGGTCCACCGGACCTGTGTTCCGCATCCCCTGGTCCAACGGACCTGTGTTCAGCATCCCCTGGTCCACCAGACCTGTGTACA